GAGCCATCCCGAGGGCTGTCACCGCAGCCTCCCCACTGGGCTGTGGGGAAGGGGGGGGACCGCAGGCGGGAAGACCCCCGTGCTCGGCGTGGCCGGGGGCAGAGCCGGGCCCCGCCTGGGAAGGAGGAGCACAGAGCACGGAGGACTGGGTTCTAGTCCTGGGGCTCCGCGGATTTCCCTGTGTGCAAGGAAGCTCCACCCCAGTGCCCGGCCTTGTGCTTCACATCCCAGGGAGTAAAAACAAGCGTAAAAACAAGAAAAAAGTTACCAAAACATCTTTTGAGAAATTGGATCATTGTAAGGTTGCATTTTGTTTTTTTTTTCAAGATGTACGAGGCTGGCCTTGAAGATGTGGTAATGTCTTAAGATTGCAAGGGCAGTTAAATATATTTATATGACACAGGGTGATGAATTGTGTTGCATAAGTAACTTCCAAGCTATAGAATGGCCCTTAGCATCAGCATTTTTTTAAAAGGAAAAAAAAAGGTTAATGATAGTAATTTCAGCCTTGATAGCGTGGAAAGGGGGCAAGAGAGGGAGCGTGTAGAGGTAACAGAGGTTCCATCTAGTGCTGTTAGCATGAGGTGGCACCGGGGTGTCCGATGGAGTGTAAGATAAAGAACACAGGAGACTGATGGGAGGAAAGAGGGGTAATAGTTTAAAAATCCCTTAGGATTTTTAAAAAAATATATTTTTATTGATTTCAGAAAGGAAGGGAGAGGCAGAGAGAGATGGAAACATCAATGATGAGAGACAACATCAATGATGAGAGACAATAATTGATCGCTGCCTCCCACACGCCCCCACCACTGGGGATGGAGTCTGCAACCCAGGCATGCCCCTGACCGGAAGGGCTGTCACCGCAGCCTCCCCACTGGGCTGTGGGGAAGGGGGGGGACCGCAGGCGGGAAGACCCCCGTGCTCGGCGTGGCCGGGGGCAGAGCCGGGCCCCGCCTGGGAAGGAGGAGCACAGAGCACGGAGGACTGGGTTCTAGTCCTGGGGCTCCGCGGATTTCCCTGTGTGCAAGGAAGCTCCACCCCAGTGCCCGGCCTTGTGCTTCACATCCCAGGGAGTAAAAACAAGCGTAAAAACAAGAAAAAAGTTACCAAAACATCTTTTGAGAAATTGGATCATTGTAAGGTTGCATTTTGTTTTTTTTCCAAGATGTAGGAGGCTGGCCTTGAAGATGTGGTAATGTCTTAAGATTGCAAGGGCAGTTAAATATATTTATATGACACAGGGTGATGAATTGTGTTGCATAAGTAACTTCCAAGCTATAGAATGGCCCTTAGCATCAGCATTTTTTAAAAAGGAAAAAAAAAGGTTAATGATAGTAATTTCAGCCTTGATAGCGTGGAAAGGGGGCCAGAGAGGGAGCGTGTAGAGGTAACAGAGGTTCCATCTAGTGCTGTTAGCATGAGGTGGCACCGGGGTGTCCGATGGAGTGTAAGATAAAGAACACAGGAGACTGATGGGAGGAAAGAGGGGTAATAGTTTAAAAATCCCTTAGGATTTTTAAAAAAATATATTTTTATTGATTTCAGAAAGGAAGGGAGAGGCAGAGAGAGATGGAAACATCAATGATGAGAGACAACATCAATGATGAGAGACAATAATTGATCGCTGCCTCCCACACGCCCCCACCACTGGGGATGGAGTCTGCAACCCAGGCATGCCCCTGACCGGAAATTGAACCCGGGACCCTTCAGTCCAAAGGCCGATGCTCTATCTACTGAGCCAAACTGGGTAGGGCCCTTAGGATCTTTTTTTTAAAAATGTGTTTTTATTGATTTTAGATAGAGAAACATTGATGTGAGAGAGAAACATCCATCCGTTGCTTCCTGTACCCGACCCGGGGATTGAACCTTCAACCTGGGCATGTGCCCTGACCTGACGTTTGAACCGGCGACCTTTCAGTGCACGGGAGGACGCTCAACCAAGTGATCCAGGCTGGCCAGGGCAGTTCTTAGAGTCTTGGTGTAAATAGAAACATAACCGGAAATTCAAGATGATGTTCATTCAACATTTAGGGAGGAGAGAGAGAGAGAGAGAAGGGGATGCCTGTGAGGTCTCTTAGTAAAAGGTGACAGAGTCTGAAGAAATGATGAAGGAATCTCCTTAGAGGTAGGAGAATCATACATTTGACGGGGAAAAGGTTTTGCTAGTTTGAAGATAGTACAGTTAGGTATAGAAAGCTAAATAGCCTTCAGTTTACCCACAAACTGGGAGAAGGGAACAAGGTTTTGAACAATTACTCTGTGCCAGGCACTCTTATATTAAAACTTAATAAATTTTAATCTCTGATTCACAGCTGTTATCATAGCTGCACTATACAAAATAGTCAAAAGTCAAAACAACCCAAATGTCCATAGAAAAATAACATGTGATGATATGGTCACACAATGGAATATCATTAGGTAATAAAAAGGGCTGGGGGGGGGGGGAGAGAGAAACATCGATGTGAAAGAGAAACATTAATCGATTATTTCCATAGGCGCCCCAACTGGGATTGAACCTGATTTCGGGGTCCTCTGGCTCTCAGACTGCCAGAGCACCCCATACGCAGAAACTGTTCTCGGCAGGGGGGGGTGCTCCAACCCACTGAGCAACACCAGCCAGGGATTTTTAAAAAATACATTTTATTGATTTTTTACAGAGAGGAAGGGGGAGTGATAGAGAGTTAGAAACATCGAGAGGGAAACATCGATCAGCTGCCTCCTGCACACTTCCCACTGGGGATGTGCCGGCAACCAAGGTACATGCCCTTGACTGGAATTGAACCTGGGACCTTTCAGTCCGCAGGCCGACGCTCTATCCACTGAGCCAAACCGGTCAGGGCTATACAGGGATTTTTGACTCCATGGAGGTGGTGCCACTAACTCCCTGAGTTGTTCAAAAGTCAACTGTATATGGTATGCAAATTATGTCAGTAAAGCTATTTAAAAAACAAAGAAACCTGATACAGCTATTATAGAAGTAGTTTTCACACCCTATATTAGTTTTGAAAACCATTGCAAGGAACATATTAATAACTAGAGGCCCGATGCTTGAAATTCGTGCAAGAGTAGGTCTTCGCAGCCGTGGCTGCATGGATCCCTCCCTCGCAGCCTTGATCCTGCGCCTGCAGCCCTGGCTTTGCCTGGTCTAATTAGCATATTACGATTTTATTATTATAGATTATTATAAATCAAGACTGAATATTTGTATCATAATGTGATACATGTTCTTGAAAATTGTAATCAATAGTACATAGGAAGAATAAACTTAGCCAGTTTTTAAAAAAATTCTCCTTTTTTTAATTTATTAATTTTTTTGTTAATCCTGATCTGAGGAGATTTTTCCATTTGATTTTTAGAGGGAGTAGAAGGGAGGGGGAGAGACAAAGAGAGAAACATCAATGTGAGAGAGACACATAGATTGGTTGCCTCCTGCATGTGCCCTGACCTGCAACCAGGTCTGTGCCCTTGGACTGGAATGGAACTGGCTGGGCCACCGACCCAGTTTTGATTGTCAGATGTAATGTAGCAATGGACTAGTTAGGGATTTTCCTATGGGTTTTTTTTTGTTTTGTTTTCATTTTGTTTGGGATTTAAGTAAACAGGGAAAAACAAATTAGATAACACTTTCAGAAATATTTTCCAGATGTTTATGTACTTAAATGTGTTAGCCTTTTTTATTATTCTCTTATTCTCAAAAGTTTAAAAATATAGTTTCAATGTTACCATATAGGTTAGGTGTTAAAAGATAACTGCATTTTTACATAGAGTTTAACATGTATATATGCTTTCTATGTAGCTTAACAGAATTTCATACTGGATATTTTCCCAGCCATCTTGGACTTTTTGAATAGTTATCCTATTATTATATTTCTAACTGTTGGTTAAGATTCCTACTTTTTTTTTTTCCCCAGAAATAAAAGCAACAGTGTTTGATGACTGCAAGAAAGAAGACGAATGGAAGGTAGAATTTGCATATTTTATTGCCCTTATATATTGTCCTTACTAAACTTCCATCAGCTATAGAGTCTGGAACCACTTGGTTCAAATCTTAGTTTCACTTAATAGCTGTGGCTTCTTGGGCAAATTACTTGATCTCTCCATGCCCCTGTTTCCTTGTCTATAAAATGGGGATGGTAGTACCTCATAGAGTAGTTGTTAATATTAAAATGAATTAATCCATGTAAAATGCTTAGAACAGTGCCTGGAACAATTATTCTTCAAGTGGCATTTTATAATTTTAGGAAAACTTGTTAAACATAACATACATTTAAATTGAACGTTCTCTGCTTCAGAGTGGAAAATTTCCATTTGCTCACTTTGTATATAATAATACATGTATATATAAAGACACAGTCTCTAGGTCATGCTTGTTAAAAGATGAGTTGAGATCATTTTGCCTACTGTCCTCATTTTAATTTTATGTTGTAAAAGGATTATAAGTTTGAATATGTTTAATGGATTAAATTATTTTGTGTGAATTTTTAGCAATCAAATGCTTATACTATTTTTTCATTTATATTCAATTTAAGATAATGCTTTTAGATGAATTTACCACTAAGCTTTTGGCATCGTGTTGCAAAATGACAGATCTTCTAGCAGAGGGTATAACTGGTAAGTGTTACCAATACTCATCATGAAAACATTTTTATTGTGATTGGGAAAGTTTGAAGTCTTGATAAATTTTAGTTAGTAATTGTGTTTCTAAGGGGGTTATGGTTTTGTTTTTAATAACTGTAGCCTTAATAATTACACTGGACATTCTTTTCTCTGTGAGTCTTTAACCTCTGTAAGTCAGGTCTTTTTTTTCCTCTCAGCTGAGACATATATTTAAGTGCTTCTAGCCAAGACAAAGTCAGTTGCCCTGTTGAGTGAGTTCTCAAAATTTTCTTTTAAATCCTCATCCCAGGATATATTTATTGATTTTAGAGAGAGGAACGGAGAGAGAGAGAGAAAAGGGGAAACAAACATACAAACAAGCAATCATCACTGTGGGAGAGAAACATTGATCGGTTGCATCCCGCAGGTGTGTTCCAACTTGGGATCAAACCGGTCACCTTTTGGTGTATGAAGCAACGATCCAACCAACTGAGCCACACTGGCCAGGGCAATAATACTTACTTTTTGATATTTATGTATAAAATAATCTTTTATTGTTGGTTACACATTCAGTTTGCAGTCTTTACTACCTTCAGTGGAAAAAGCTCTAAACTAGAAATCAGAAGATGAAAGCCTTGATTTCACTATTGTTGGATAAGTATAATATGGATAAGCCACTTAAGTTTTTTAAGTTCCCAGAGGATATTCTGATGTGCAACTAGAGTGAGAACCATTTGGTAATAAGTGTGAAAGTACTATGAAACTATAGAACCATTTTGCACTGTAAGGAGGTTTTACTGAATTTTTGTAGACTATTACTGTTTCTTACTGTTTGTTCAGTATTGATAGCAGAGGCCTGATGCACAAAATTTATGCAAGGGTAGGCCTTCCTTCCCCTGGCTGCTTGCACTGGCTTCCCTCCGGCTACTGGCCGGCACCCAGGCTTCCCCCTCGATTGATCACCCCCCAGGCCAGTGGCCTGGACCTCCCTCTGCGGGGCGATCATGGGGCGATGGCAGCCCCCCCTCCCCCCACCAATGGCATCACACCAGCCTTGGCTGGCCTGGCAGCGGTGCGTGTCATAGCGTGGTCATCTGGGTGGTCATTCCGCTGTTTGGTTGATTTGCATATTAGCTTTTATTATAGATATTTTTCAATGAAAGGATTCTGTGGCCAAGTAAGTTTGGGAAATAGCCTTAAACAAAGCTAAACAAGTTTCTTTAGGACTTTTTGGAGTTTTTTATATGCCGCCGGGTACAGGTACAGTATTCAGTTTTCTAAACTTATTTGGCCACAGAAAGCTTTTGTTGAAGAGCATTTTGTAGGACTGTATACCATGGAGCACATTCCTCTGGACCAGCCGTGGGCAAACTACGGCCCGTTTGAAATGAATAAAACTAAAAAAAAAGACCGTACCCTTTTATGTAATGATGTTTACTTTGAATTTATATTAGTTCACACAAACACTCCATCCATGCTTTTGTTCCGGCCCTCCGGTCCAGTTTAAGAACCCATTGTGGCCCTCAAGTCAAAAAGTTTGCCCACCCCTGCTCTGGACTGTCCTCCAGAGTTCCCTAGGTTTACTGTGTTTTTTTGTTTTTGTTTTTATACTTTATAATACTAATGTATGGTTTTAAAAGAATAAGAGTTAATTTGGGAATTATTTAAAGTATATATAGAACTATAGTTAAAAACTGGGGCTCTGGAGCTGGACAGGTCTGCGTGGGAATTCTGTCTGTTCGCCTTTCTGTCTGTGTCACTTGGACAAGTTACTTCAGTTTCTTCATTTGTAAAATACTTATAAGGTTATCATGACGTTTAACAGATAATTCATGTAAAGTACTTAGCCTGGTATCGGTATCATACTCGCTATTATTATAGTAGAGTATTTTTAAAAAAGAAACACATATTTTAATTTTTAATGCATTTTCTTGGTTTCTTCATGGCCTGTTGATTACTTATGCTGGTAGACCTAACTATGAAATAGCTGCTTTATCTTTTTATTCTCATGATGAGCACTTAGCCCAGAGTTTAACCTTAGGGAAAACACATTTTTAAGACTTCTATACTTTATCAAATGAAGACAAAGAAAAGGTTAAACCCAAGATATGTAAATCTGTTTCTCTATTATTATAAGTAAGAAGTACAATAAAGTTTATTTTTAAAATGTTTTGAATGTATAAATATTTGGTTATAAAAAATGACTTTCTTTTTTGTTAGTTGTGGAGAATATTTATAAGATTCGGGAACCTGTCAGACAGATGAAAGCTCTTTATTTTATCTCTCCAACATCAAAGGTGAGTATTTTGAATCTTTAAAAAGTATGTTCTTCAATATTTTCACTGTTGACATGATTTTCTCATAGAAAAATCAAGGTAATAAAATACCCTTTATTGGAAAAATAGTGACACAAACTGGTTTGCTTAGGGGAAAGTATTTCTGTTAGAAGATTGTTTTATTTGCACTCTTCTCACTAAGAATGTAAGTGAAAAAATTCCTATCTCCCCCATGAAATATGAAAGCAGAATTTAATTGTATAAATTATTAGAGTTTCTTTGAATTATTTGTTACTTTTACAGTTCCTATTCAGCCATAATTGTTAAGAGGATGGAAATGTACTTAAAAGAAATAGTCTTGGATTAATCAATTTATCTTAGTTACTTCTCTACATACATGATGTATGTATGTATGTGTGTGTAATTTTTTTTTATGTTAAAGGAATTTCTTTGGTTTGTAATTCAGCAACCACCCATCTAAGTGGGTGAAGCTGCTAGGGAGAGGAAGTTCAATAAGAATAAAGAAAATGTGCATCTAGCAAAATGTAGCTGCTTGGAGAGAAGGCTGACAATTTGAACAAAGAAATAGTACGCAGAATGAGATTCTAGTTATCACATAAAAAGCTTTCTGAAGATCAAAAGTATAGGATTTCTCAATTAAATAGTTAATTGAAGAAGAGGTTAATTACTATTGAAATTTGAATAATAGCCTAGAACAATGGTTGGCAAACTGCGGCTCGAGAGCCACATGCGGCTCTTTGGCCCCTTGAGTGTGGCTCTTCCACAAAATACCACGTGCGGGCACACACGTACAGTGCGATTGAAACTTCGTGGCCCATGCGCAGAAGT